TGATGATGATGATGATGATGATGATGGCGGCATCCTTGTTGTTGTTGTTGTTTTTGCACAACAAATACAAAGTGTTGGAAAATAAAGTGTTTTTCATGTGAACAAAGACTGGACCTTGTCGTTGACCTCTGACTGACCTTCTCTCCTCGACCCAGTGGTCCGGTTCTGTGGAGCTCCTCCGTGGTCCACGTCCTCTTTGGTTGGTTGGGTTTCAGTGCTCGTGCTAACATTTAGCACTCGTCCTAGCTGTAGTTAACTATAGTCCTGGCTAGCTTTGCACCTTTGACCTGACGACACCGGTTTCCTTTAAATATTACTTTATTCTGTCAGTTAACAGTTATTTCTGTCTTCACTTTGATGATGTTGGTCTGAACTTTCAGTCCTTCAACTTCAAAATGCCAACACATTTGTAACTGATTTATTTATTTAGCGTCGACGCCCAGTTCATTTTTTTAGGTCATGAATAAGAAGGGTTTTGATCTAAACACCTTCTGGTCACGGTGTTTGATCTAATGCTTTTTACCACTGACCGTCTTTGTCCTCGTTGGCTCCTGTCGACCAATCAGACGTCGTCGTCGGTTCTTTGTCAAATATGTCTTTAAGGTTCTTTAAGCCCTCGGAGTGTTAGAGTTCCGAACCTGTAACTTTCCAACTCGGTGAGTTGGAACTGATTCGTCAGCCTGTGGTGGGAAGAGTTACCGGGGGGAGGAGGGGGCAGGGGGGGCTGGAGGGGGTGAACGAACAGGTCTCTTAGAAACGCGTCCGTTTTGTTTTGCAGAACTCCAGACTCTTGGTGTTTGCGAATGTCAACATTTGTGAAAGCCGCGGTTGAGCTGCGGCAGAGTGAGGAGCCCGGGGATTAGCCCAGCCTCTGTTTACCTGCTCTGAGGAATGCTGCCCGGCTCGGACGCTTTTGTATCTGTCAGGGACTGGAGGTCAGAGCTCCGGCTGAGATGGGCCGCTTTGTCCCTCCTCAAAGTTTCCACCTCACAATATCAACAACACAACACAATGTGGGAGAGGAACCAGGAATTCCTGCTCATGTTGCAACAGTGTTCACACACTCGGGTTCAACGGCCCCTCTCCTGCCTCTGATTGGTCCGATGAAGGATGGCTGGGAGCAACTTTGTCATTTTTACCAACCAGAAATGCACAATAGTGAAGGAGGGAGAGGAACAGAATTAAATCCTTCAAAAACACTGAGGAAAAACAGCTGATACGAAAATAAAATATTTAACAAAAACAACTAAAACTTAGCTAAGAAGTCATAACTCAAGCCAAGAATGTTAAACTACAAAAATATAGGGAAAATGTTTGGCAAAAAAAAAAGTATTAGACATAAACTGGTCATAGCCAGGCTAACGTTAGATTAGCCTAGCTAACGTTAGATTAGCCTAGCTGGTGACAACATGTAGACTGTTAGAGATCTCAAAGGTTGACCAAAGTAAACCAAAGTAAATCAAGTTGGTGTAAATTATTAAATTGTTTGAAGGTAAGAAACGCCACGAGCTAGGGCAACATCTAGGCTAACTAAAATAATCCAGAAATGGATCAAATTAGCCTAAATATGACTAAAAAAGTCAAAACAAAGTTAGCAAAAATGGACAAATGTTATTATGGCCAAAATGAATATTAAAAGTAGCGGTTTATATGTGACGAACACTTGCTGAAAGAAGGTAACAAAGAGTTAGCCCAGAAACAAATGAGCCAACAACAACAACAACAACAACAACAACAATAATAAATTCGTATCTGAAGTAAGAACAGAAATCATTCAGTGAAGCAGCGATTACAGCTTTTAAAAGAATTAAAAGAAGTTGCAACAGTCTGAAGGTGAAAACGCCTTCTGGATAAATCAGCTACATCCGTGACGTCTTAGCTACAAACTGGCCAATAGACGAGCTGTATTCACTACCACAACCAAAAGTCACAGATCGTCTCACAGTAAGAAACACGGAGGGCGCGCTGCTTTTACTGCACTACTGCCAACTGTCCACCTGGTGTCGCACTTGTACACTGCATAAAAGCCGCAGCGGGGGCGGAGGAGCGCGGTCCGACAGAAGTCATTTTCACCGCTGATGTGAAGCCCAGCGCGGCTCCGGGCCGCCTGGATGTCCGCCGTCAGATGGAACAAGTGTGTGTGAAAAATAATGCGGGATTAACGGCTGTTTGCTCAGGTTGAGTCACGTCTGATTCCCAGCCGTCATCCAGACCTGCCCTCGGTCCGAGGCCGAGTCCGAGTCCGCGGCCACAGAGCAGCTTCTGTCTCGTTTGTCTGCACTTCGGCTCAGAAAGAAGCCGTTGTTTGCGGAGCTCGGAACTCGTTAAATTCGACACTGACGCTCCACATTTCACAGGCTCACAGACGGCGCTTCACCGCCGCGAACGCTCGTTTTCAAACACCGACGTTTTGGCCACAGAGGAAAATAAAAAGACAAACGATGAAAATACATTTACGACAGTAAATTCATCAAATGTAATTTTATCGTAAATGTAATAATAAAGTTTGTATAAAAAAGGTAAAGTTGTTCTACTACAAATACAAAAAAGTACTTTCACAGTAGAACAACTTACCGCAGTAAAGGAAACTTTTTACGTTGTTTCATAAATGTTCGACTTTATTGTCGTTCAGTTGAATTTAGTGAAACGTCACGACATCAAACTGATGATTTTATTTTCCTAAATTTATTCTCAAACATTGACGAATTTTTTTCTCTTTGTTTTTTTTTTGTTTGTTTTCGTTAACGAACGACTTTCTGTCGTAAATGTTCAACTGTTCTGTGGGAAATTTACGACTTTATTTTCAGTTAATTTTCTCCTTCATTTCCGACTTCAACAACGAAAAATCTTTTTGTCCTAAAATTTAAAAATGAATTCTAGTAAAATGTACATTTTTAAGACTTATTTCTGCTTCAAAACAACTTGATTTTTTTATTGACATTTTCTTAAAAACCCGCAGCTTCTTTTGTGACTCTCTTTATTTAACGACTTTTCCTGAACTTTCAACACGTCCCTCATGAATTCACATCAGTTCGAATCAAATCTACGTTTTTTTTTTTCTCCTAAAATCAATTTTTTTTTTACTTTTTCGTCATATTTTCAGACTTTATTCGATTGATCTCCCGCTCTAATGACCCCCCCCCCTCACAAAGACAGGTAAACAGAGCAGAGTTTGAAGATTTTCTTTATCTCAGTTCGTAATAAACATATAAATAATAAACTCTAGACACTGGTTCACACCTGGTCCTGTGTATGAAAGTTCACCTGGTCCGCACCGACCGCAGCTCCGCTCTACTGAAAACTAGTTCCTAGTACAAAATATGAAAAACAACACAGGAAAATAAGGTTTAGTACATTTACTGCAGTTACTTAGTACTAATTTATTCAAAGGAACTTTTTCAGAAACTCCAGCGTCAGATCTGCGTCTCAGGAGAAAAAGAACAAAAGAAAATCCAAAAGTAAAACTGCAGACCCCCCCTCGGCCCCCCCTCCTCCGACAGAGTATCATCATAGTATTCTGAATAAAACAAGCAGTACAAGAGTATTTTTCTTTAAATCCAACACTTTCCCAGCTACTGTATTTAAATTAAAATATATTCTCATATCTTACACTATTTCAAATAACGAAATGTGATTCGGTATCGATCTGTCAAAATCTAATTTACAATTCTGAGTATAAAAATATAATTTATGGAACAACTTTGTCTTTTCTCCCGGAATATAACAGTCAGAGTGACGCAGGCGGTGGGAGAACTGTCTCCCCCCTCCTCCCCCCTCTCTCTGTCTCTCTTTCTTTTTCTTCTTCTTTTTTTATTTTTTTTTTACACATTTTTCTTTCATTTTAAGTCTTTTTTAACATTTGAGATATACAAAAATAGATAAGACACAGTCCAGAGCTCAGGCCTCTTCACACGAGAATAAATTATTCAAAGAGAAACTTTTTTTTTTTTAAGGCTCCACTCGTTCTCTGACACGGGACACAGCTCGGGAAAAAGTCTGTCCAATAAATATCCCAACTCCGCCGCTCGGACCTTCGTCTGGTTGGTCTGTCTGTTGTTCACAATAATGATTTTTATTTGATTTTATTTGTTGTTGTTGTTGTTGTTTTTATATCTAAAGAATAGTCACGTGTCTCTACGTTCGAGTCCGACTCTGTTCCTCCGGAGTCGAACCTTCAACTCGGGGACACCGACATGCCCAGTGGATGGATGGACTGACTGTCCAACAGCCATGTCCCTAACTGGTAAAGGACCTTGGAGTACCAGTGGACCCCGTCCTCCTGCCGGGTCCCAGCCGCAGTCTGAGGGCTGAAAAGCAGCGTGGAGACCCAGTGCGCGGCCCTGACCGGGGCCAGGGCCCAGTGTGCCAGCCGGTGGTCTTCGATCACTGCGTAACAGGACGCCAGGACCCGGTCCACCACCACGGTCCCCTCCGCGGTCACTGGCGCAAACGAGCCCTGGTGTTCCTGCGTAAAAATCCGTCGGACGGTGACGGGCTGGAGCTGCTGTCCCACGGAGTCCAACACGAAGACCTTCTGTCCGGGCTGGACGCTGCTGGCGAACACCGCCGACATCCGTCTGTCCACCACAGAAGAAGAAGAAGAAGAAGAAGGAGAAGAAGAAGAAGAAGAAGAAGAAGAAGAAGAAGAAGAAGAGTTGTGGCCCACGAAGAGCAGGTGTGCGGCGGTCAGCGTGATTCTCTGGCCCGAGTCGGTCTCGATGACGTAGAAGAGCCTCCTGGTGGTGGAGTCCTGGTCGATGAAGGTGATGAAGTCCGTGTAGAGCAGGTGTCCGTCAGGGTCGGCCGCCAGAACCCTGTCCCCGGGCCGCAGCTCCCCGACCGCTCTCTGGGTTCCGTCCTCCAGGGTCAGAGTGGAGGATGCCGGGAAACAGCCGCCGGACTTTGCCGCCACGGAGTTCTCTGTCAGACAAACAGGAAGTGATCAGAACACAGTTAGAGACGAGTGTCTCCAGATCAAACTAACCTCCAGATCAACGACTGTTTCGACCATTTATTAACGGAAGAAAATCATTGAATATTTCACTTTTCTGACGTCACAGTGTTTCAACTTCGAAGAACTTTCTGGACTTCAAAGATTCGACTCTTCTGTGTATTTGGATCAAACGTTCACCCCCCCACGCCCCCCCGCCCCCCGTGCCAGATGCGTATTGGCCCTTGGCCCTCGTCGTCTGAGCCTCATCTATTCTTCATCTATTCTTAATTAAAAAGCCAATAAAGAGCAGCCATTGATATTGTAAACGGCCTGTGGACCTCGGTCCGTTCCCAGATCCTCGTCCCGTATTTGCTCAGGTGGACAAACCTCCATGTGACAATTCACACAAACAGGCGACTCACAGCTCCGTGTTTACCCGCTGGAGCCGCTCCTCCAGGCGGACATTTGAATTTAAATGAGGCCCGGACTCTTAAATGCTTTCTGTTGTGCAACATCAATGCCCCCCCCC